GTAAACAATGACTTCTCTCGTTGATTTCTAGGCATTAAAGGCACGTCTACACAAACAAACTGCACCATCGGGTAGGGGAACTCTTCCCTTAGTTGATCGTGACATCGAATTGCCAGGGAGAGCCATGACTTTCGAAAAATTAACGAGAGAAGTCATTGTTTACAAAAGCTGATTCGCCCTAATTCCAGCTCTATCTAGATTTACATTACTTGAAAAATCTCAGGTAATCATGACGCAGCAGATGAATCATTGTATACGCAGGGACTCGCTCTCAGGGAGGTTTAAATTTTCTCAAAAACTCATGGACAGTCCTTCAACATTATTTCCACGTGCATCGAAGAATGGCTCGTCTCGCGAGACCGCTCAATCAATAACAACCTTAAGATAGCGATCCACCAACTAGATCATGCCACTTTTTCCAATGTGCTTTGTGTTGTGGTCAAAAATGAAAACAACAAGAAGAACAGAGAAACCCCCGTGCATAAGGTCATCGTTAATGGCCGTGACGGCGGTGGCGACGGCGACGACAACGAAACCCAATGCACCCGTGTAATCAGTGGCGTCGGGAAGGCACAAGTGCTCCATTCTTCCATCGTAATGGCACCATCAACAAGAAGTCCAAACAATTGATAGGATGAACATTAACTGCCCTTTCCGCTTCCTGTGCCGGCGGTGTGGTGTGAAGAATGATGATTGTACGCATGGGTGTGGCCTCGTTAACGGAATCGTTAATACCACCAAGTTCATAAGGGCATCCAAGATGATGGGGAAGTTCCACTTTTTGAATGACGGTGGGCTTGTCTACAGCAATCAAAGCTGAACAAAACTAATCGAACAGAAATCATTCAGAATCAGTTATTTTTGGTAACACTGATAAATGTCAAAATGTGACAGTAGTCCTCAACGTACAATCAAGGCTTAATTTACTTTTTTACTTCCGTCCGTGGAATAAAACAAAAATCGTAGGATTATTATCAAGTGTTGAAATCTATTGCCAACCTATGGCAGCTATCCAAATGCTCTGACCAAGAGTCCGGTTGCGTTCATTCACAACCCGCCTCGTCTCGTTGACAGCTAGTCCTAAGGTCATACGGCTATGAATAGCTTTACGCCATTGCCAACCGTCCGAAAGGGCAATCAACGGAAATGCAACACTTTCAACTATGCATTATGAAATCGCGCTCCATTCTATGCCAAATCAAACCGGCCTTCCTTTAAGATCACGGCGGCATCTAGGTCGTTGAACACTCGAGCTCGTTGCAATGCAAGCGAGAGCGCATCTGCCTAGCTCGCCTAGCTCTATTATGATGAGATGTAAAGTGCTTCGCCGTTTCCATTTGCATTGCTGACACAAGCGTTTCGAAAAATCTCCATATGAACGATGAGATGTATCGCATTTCACCTCCGGTCGTATGCTTCCCAGCCACACTGCACAGACGACGGGTGGTGATTGAAAATTAGAGCATGGTCATAGTAAACTACAGACTGATTGCCATGGTGACGCTCGGTGATTCACATAGTTGCAAAGAAATAACCACGCGCCTCCACGGAAATTTATTTATTTCGAGAGACAATGCATCGCCCTTTGCGTCTGATTTGCGTCAGCAAAAAGTGATAAATGAGAATATAAACTGACACATGGCGAGAAGGCAAAGCTGTCAGACCCGGTTTTCAAGTTGGACACTTCATTCATTACCCCTCTGCTGTTGGTTGGCTTTTGGAAAGAACGCAGATGAACCCATTTCCCAAGCTGTGTTCTGCTGCAGCACTGATCGCGAAAGTAAAAGTTATTTTTACCAATCAGCTGCTATACATTTTATCAACATGAAAGGTAAATAAGATCACCAGCAACCATCACCAGTCGCTTGACGCAATGTGTCGCGCGTGGCCTCGCTTACACAGCAGCTCAGTGCCTACTTTTTTTTTCTAAATATTTTGACTGCCATTTTTTCACGATAAAAAATAAAATATCCGGCCGGTGGCAAGAAAGGTTCGATTTAAAGTTGTTTATCATTCCGGCCTATACGGTACGGAGCCGTGTCATCTGGTGGATGACCTTCCGAATTGATGCGTGGAAAAATAGACCATTTTTTGACAGGAAACATCGGTTGTTTTTAAAAACGTTTTTGCAAGATAACCAGTTTTTTTCTTTGATTTATTTTCCGTGGAGCACCAATGCTACCAACGCCAAGGTGGCAGCTCCCACACCTGACCTATCGACCCATCAAATCATGAACCGGGAACTAACGGCGTTACTCCCCGTGATCAGAGATGTTATGCCTCAGAACATCCCTGTGGCACCGACTGAGGTGAGAGGTAATCACGCTTACCACTACACCACCGGCGCCGCTAAATAACCAGTTTTGATTCGGTTTGAGCCATTTTCATTTTGCTGACGTAATGTTATTTTAGCATTCAGGATACACGAATAAAGGCGAGGTAAACATCACATGACAACTTTTTTGCTACGAACTGGTACAACATAAATTTATAATAATAGAATAACGTGCCCACTTTTCTTTTCACTGATCTCTAGGTACAATCAAAGCAGCTTTGCACTGCACGCCTGATAATGTCAAAGGATTTGTAATGACCGATAAGAGTAAACAAAAATGCAGAAAATGACATGCATCAAGCGTAACTATTCAAATCGACGTATCTGCTTTTGTAAACAATCGCTTCAATCGACGATTTGTCTTAACTATTAACTCACCCACGCACACAAACACCATGATCAGGCAGGGCAATATTTCCCCTACTAGCTGGTTTGGTAGTTTCTGTGAGTGAGCTAGCAGTTGCCAAAAATCGTCGATTGAAGTGATTGTTTACAAAATCAGATACGTCGATATGAATAGTTACGCTTGCATTTATTGTTGCACTGATAAAAATTTAAAAAATGTCTCGAACATGACGATTCCGTTAAAAGAAGGGCATTATCGATTCTTATCTCTTGGGAATGTTCGTCGGGTTGTCAAGCACAATTTTTCGCACAAATTACTCATTTGTTAACATGTACCGTGCCGATTCAAATTTCGGACACTTAAACTCGAATTTCGGACACTTTTAAAAGTTGATTATCTCGGTCGAATATGATCCACATGTCTTGTAAATTTTAAATTTTTTTGACTAGTGCCCTCCACGATCATCTAACATTATTACTTTGTTTCTAACTGGATGTAATATTTAATTAAAAATGAAAGTGTCCGGAATTTGAATCGTCCGAAATTTGAATCGGAACGGTATTTTCTTGAAGCAACACTATGATAAGAGTTCCAGGTACCTATAGGTACGTTAACACAGTAGATTTGTTTTTAAACGAAAAACTGTGCTCCAATTTGGGTCACGAAAACGAAACGAGAAATAATTGCTGCTCATTTTAGACTTTCAATGAAAAAAGTCATTGGTGTGAATTTAAATTTCGTTATTCAACTACTCTATGCGTGTTTACTGTGTACTCTGATGCTACTCTATCAATTGCTTGAAGTAAAACCGAGTTTCATCAACTAAAAGTTATTAACAAAAGACCAATTTGTCACAAATGTGCGGCATATTTTTAGAATTTTAGAACCGCTAAAACACCAATGTAAAGGGTGATACGGTCAAAATTTGGTCAAGGGAAAACGCGTGTAAATCGGTGAAATCGTTTATTTAAAAAATCAAATTAAATTTCTTTTTCAAGTTCAATTAGTATAAAATTCAGGAAAAATATTCAGTTAGGCTTCCGCTTTTCCAAATCCGAATTGCCGGGCCTTACGCTTGACTCCTGCCAGATTTTGTACAGCCACCTTGTCCACCTTCTTCGCCGCAGAAAACCAGTTTGCCTTGAACTGCTGCTCGCCCTTAGCAGTTTTTTTGGTCTTCTTTAGGTTCCGCTTGACAATAGCCCAGTATTTCTCAATTGGGCGGAGCTCTGGCGTGTTGGGAGGGTTCTTGTCCTTGGGAACCACCTGCACGTTGTTGGCGGCGTACCACTCCATGGCCTTTTTACCGTAATGGCAAGATGCCAAATCCGGCCAAAACAGTACGGAACAACCGTGTTTCTTCAGGAAAGGCAGCAGACGTTTATTCAAACACTCTTTCACGTAAATTTCTTGGTTGACAGTCCCGGAAGCTATGAAAATGCTGCTTTTCAAGCCACAGGTACAGATGGCTTGCCAAACCAGATATTTCTTTGCGAACTTTGACAGTTTCATGTGCTTGAAAACATCTGCTACCTTTCCCCTTCCTTTTGCCGTATAAAACTCCTTTCCCGGAAGCTGCTTGTAGTCGGCTTTGACGTAGGTTTCGTCGTCCATTACCACGCAGTCAAACTTCGTCAGCATCGTCGTGTACAGCCTCCGGGATCGCGCTTTGGCCGTCGTATTTTGTTTATCATCGCGATTTGGAGTCACTACCTTCTTGTAAGTCGATAGTCCGGCTCGTTTTTTGGCTCGATGCACGGTTGTAGACGATACACCCAGCTTATTTGCGGCATCTCGGAGAGAGAGGTTAGGGTTTCGCTTGAAACTACCGGCAACTCTCTTTGTCGTCTCAGCGGCTTCCGGTTTTCGATTTCACCCCGATCCAGACTTCCTGGCTGTCGACAAACGTTCCCCAAACACTTTAATTACATTTGTAACGGTTTATTTGGCAACTTTTAGCGATTTTGCCAACTTTGCGTGCGAGTAGCTCGGATTTTCGCGATGCGCGAGCAAAATTTTGATACGCTGCTCTTCTTGCTTGGACGGCATTTTGACAACTGAAGAGTGAATTCCAAAATCAAAATAGGAGCAACATTCTACACACACACACCTTCAAAATGAGGGGTGTTCAGGTTTTTTAAATGCAAAATTGAAAGAAATACGTCAAGTTGATATTGACCAAATTTTGACCGTATCACCCTTTACCAAAGTGCCCTATTCCAAACGTCGCCTTTTGTAATGGGTTACTGCAGATTTCTGTCCAATATGAACGTGCGCATATGACTAAGTCGTACTTTTTGCTCTCCTTTTTTTTTGCAGTGACAATTCCGCTCGTCCGTACCCCCATCTGGAAGGGTGTCCAACTTGGTGAATGCCAGCCTACGCAGAGATGCTGGTATCCCAAAGTCCACCGATCTACAATCACTCACTCGTGGATTACATTTCGAGTCAAACCGGCGACGGGTCACGCTTCGGCTACGGTGGCGTACCTCCGACGACCCGTAGCTACTGTCGACCGGCGTCACTGAAGCTTACTCCACCGCCCTTGCGCCGCCAGCTGACGCCACCTTGCCCGATCAGCTCTAAGATGCCGGCGTCACCGAGACGATCGTGTCTGGTGGTACGACCGGAAGACCTGAGCCCGGAGGAGGAGCACACGATTGATCTGCACGGCTCCCTGGACCCCAGTCACGATAAGCATCGGAACAAGAAGAAGGTAGTCTTCGCCGATGATCAGGGCGGCCAGCTGACGCAGGTGCGCGTCATGGAGGAAGCGTCCTACATGCCTCCGAACTGGAGCTTGCAATTTCTGGCGCATGTCACGCAGGGTATGATCAGTCCCGTGCCCCAGGAGCAGTGGATGGTGGACTTTAGGCAACCGGCCAGTGCCTACCTGGAGTTCCGCCAGAAGGTAGAGGAGAAGAACGTTTCGCTGGAGAATGTGATCATCAAGGAAACGGAACACCTGATCGTCGGTACGGTCAAGGTGAAAAACATCAGCTACAACAAGGAAGTCATCGTCCGGTCGACCTGTGATGCCTGGAAAACCCACGAGGACACCTACTGCACGTATACTGTGGTAAGTATAGGGGACAACTCAGTCCCTCTCAGTACGCTTGTTTTCTAACGTTTTTCGATGAGCCAATAACAATCAAGATTATGGGACCGATTCAGTTGTCGAACCATTGATTGGAACGCTAAGCTAACTTTAATTTCGGCAAAAGTGGATTTACTCAAAAATGAGTTGAATTTTCCGGACTTTTCCTGAAAAAACCTTCTCAAATGTGTGGAAAATCGAGTTTTTACTCAGTCTCAGTCTCAATCGATGTTCCTCATATTTGAGAAGTTTTTCCTGGAAAAGCCCTAAAAATTCAACGCACTTTTGAGTAAAACATAACCCAAACATCTCTAAATATTTTAGCATGTATAAAGATTCCGGACAGTTTCATTAATTCCCGGAAAATTACAGGAAATTTTATATAAGTTCTGAGCAGTGCGGGGAACTCCTGAAAAATCAGGAAAGTTTCGAGCTTTTAGATTAATTTCGGTTGTGTTAGTGATGTTCCAAGCATTTTAGGGAATATCTGAGAATTCAAAAAAACTTTCAAAAACTTTAGGAAAGTTCCGAGAACTGCTGGAAAACTCAGAACTCTGAGGAAGATTGAAGATCTTAAAGAGTAGGTTCCGAGTACTGCTGTTCAGTGCTATGAACTTCAGGAAATTTTCGTGAACTTAGATGAAGATCAGTGATCTTCACGACAGTTCCTTTAACTTTAAGAAAATTCCAGGAACTGTAGACCTTCAATAATTATCAGAAAACTACAGGGAAGTTCAAAAATGGCTAGGAAAGATCAGAGAGCTTCGGGAAAGATCTGAGCACTTCATTGCACTTCCATGAACATGCGAAAAATTATGAAATCTTGAGGGAGGTTTCAAAAACTTCATGGAAAAGAACCAAGAACAAAGCCCGGAAAACTTCAAAGAAGTTAAGAGTCCCATGAACGTCAGAAAAACTGCGGAAACATAAATAAAGTTCCAAGAACATTTGAAAACTTTTGACACTTTACTTTAGTTTCATTAAGATCAGAAAAACTGCGAGAACCTGAAAACATCAGTACAACATAGAAGTTTTAAGATCTTAGCTTCAGGTTCAGTTCCAAAGGTAGCTTTAGGTCAGTTCCAAAGATTTTTGGAAAGTTTCAAAGTGAAAATTAAATACAGGAAAATTTCAGGAGCTTCAGGAGCTTTAGTTACAAAAACTTAAAGATCATCATCAGAAGAGTAGTGAGCACTCATCAAAAATTGCAGGAACTTTGATGAAGTTCTGAGGAATAAAAGGAAATACCGAGGATTTTGAAAAAGTTTCATGAACAGACTGTGGGATAGTAAGGAATTTCGGGCACTTCAGGAAAGCCTCGAGAACTTCAAGGCTATTCTATCAGCTCCAGTGAAACTACAGGATCTTTATTCTTGGAAGCTCAGTGATATCCAGAGAGCATCAGTAAAGTCAAGAAAACTTCAGGAAAGTTCAGAGAACTTGAGAAATTGTGGCAACTTTAAAGAAGTTCCAAGAACCTCAGGGAAGATAGGTCTGGGAAGCTCAAAGACGTTAGAGAGGGCTTCCCTTAGCTCAGTCGGTAAAGCCGCAGCTACAAAGCAAGACCTGGGGTAGCAGGGTTCGGTTCCCGGTTCGGTCTAGGAATTTTTCGGGTTGGGCATAGAGTATGATTGTACTTGCCACGCAATTATACTAATGCAAAAATGGTACATGGCTTTCTATGGCTCTCAATTAATAACTATGGAAGTGCATCTAGAACACTAAGTTGAGAGCACGCAATAAGTCAATAAGCTTGAAATGCGAAGAAGAAGAAGAAGAAGAAGAAGTCAGAGACGTCCAGACTTTTGGGCAAGTTCAAAGATCTGTGAATTCAGGACAGCGCCATCAACAATAGCAACATTTTGAGAATCTTTAAGAAGTTCCAGAATTTTAGGAAAGTTCGGAAAACTCCTAACATTTTTAGAACACTTTGGACGTGTCTTGGGTATTTCACAGAAGTTCAGAGATTTTCAAAAAAGTTTTCAGACAGTTCCATGTATTTTAGGGCAGTACCAATAACTTCAGGAAAATTGCAGGAACTTCAGGATGGCTTCGAGAATCTTAAGGTAGTTCAAGGAAATTACGAAAACTTTACATAAGTTCCAAGAAACTCAGTTCCAACCTCTTCGAAGCAGTTTCATTATTTTCAAGGATGTTCCATGTATCCAATGTAATTAATTGCAGGAACTTGCAAGGAGTTCCGAAGAATCATTTCCGAAGATAATTTCTGAAATATTCTGAAAATTTCTGTAAATAAGCGAAGTCTTCATATCAGAAAAAATGTTGGAATGCTAGAGAAGTTCCGAGAACTACTTGAAATTTTCAGGGATGTTCAGAGATTTTAAAGGAAGCTCCATGAGCTTCAATGAAGTATTTATTGAAACCGTTAGATACATTGTGGAAGCTTCAGGACAGTTTAATTATCTTCAGGAAAATTGCTGCAACATTTAAAAACGTCTGAGAAATTCAGGTCTAGAGATCATAATTGATGTTCAGAGATCTTTAGGGCAGTTTCAATCATTTTAGGGAAGCTCCGAATACTTCAGAAAAATCTAGACGTTCGGGGAAGTTTATAGACCTTGAATAATAAGTCATTTTGTTTCGGTTTTCATGGGATAGCTTCAGCTTAAGCTCGTTAAGATTTTTGAGCTGAACGAAAGACGGTACAACTGTTATTCGCTGAAGAAGGCCATCCAAGCCCATCCTACCGTTAAACTGAGAAGCCAATATTCGAAAAAATATGTATTTTTAAGTTTTATGGCGAGCTGACGGCAGGCAAGCTTACCTGTACGCTAGTTTCTATTAGAGAGAACTAAAGTGCGTGTACAGTCTGAAATTACAATTATGAGCGCTCCTTATGAACATATGAAAAATTGTGAGTAACCAGCTCCAAATTTACCATGCCAGTACTGGTATGGAGAACTGATACTCTGGGGCTTCCTCCGTTGAATAGTCTACCGCCGATCACCGAACTCAAATCATGAATCGGAGAAAGTCAATTTTTGATTATTGGCCACCTGAATTCTCATAGTGTGTGCTTCAGAAATTGAGCTCCCTGTGGTATCTGGGTGTGTTATAAACTCTGGATCCAAGTCATTATCTTGGAATCCTTCAAATTCCGGGAGGAAACACGAAAGAACCTCATTGATTTCACCAATACTAAGTAATCCAAGTAACTAGCGGCGCTGGTTGCCTCTCACCCCAAAGGGCCTGGGTTCAATTCCAGTCGGCGCCACCGGGATTTTCTGAGGCATAAAATCTCTGATCACGCCTTCCTTCGGAAGGAAAGTAAGACCATTGCACAGTGGTACATAATGCAGATTTAGGTGGAATGATATGTTTTGAGCCTGAAATTGAAACTTTAGACTAAAAGTCTCTTCTACAAAGTTGTTCCTTATAGTTAGGCCCTCATTCTTATGACAATGAATGCTAGGGTGGTTCCTATTATCATTAAAATCAAAAATCTAACTTATTTGTTTGAATAAACTAAGGTATACATTCTTCGGCAAAGTTATAGCTGAGCTAATTTCAAGCAACTTTGTTGAAAAGAACTTTTTTGTGTCTCTTCAATTGGCCGATTTAGAGCTATTTTCTTGAATTGAGTTAGGGTGGCCCTTAAAAGAACAGGTTTTTTGCTCTATTTTTCTTATTTCGAATTTCTCAGCAAAGGTGTCTTCAGATAACTGTTAGATCTTAAGAAGGCGCAAATTTTTGCTGCACAAAGCTTGTCAATATCTTTCGCCGATCAAGAGTTATTGACGTTTGTATACTAAAAATATACACTTTTCAAATGTTAATATCTCTGGTTGGGGCAAACGAAAAAAAAGTTTTTTTGCAGCATTTGAAAGGGCGTATGTTATTCTCAAATTGGAGGTATGTTATTTTTTAAACTCGTATAAAATCAATTTGAATTTATTCATATTTTTTACTATATTTGAGTATATCTTTTTTATTAGAAGAGATACAGGCAACAAATTCAGCTATAAAACATTTGTCTTAAAGAGTTTTAAAAGTCTCTTGAAGATAACATTCATGAGAATTTTCAAATAAAAAAGTTATTGCCAAAAAACTATTTTTTCCAGGAATACCCTAAGTCAACTCCGAAAAATTACTCTAAAATGAGAACGTTAAGAGATAGAAAAAAATTTTCTTCGACAAAGTTGCTTGCAAGTAACTTAACTACAACTTTGTTCAACAACACATGTTTATATTTTGTACAACAAAAAAGTTAGTTTTAAAAATTCCCTAATTTGAGGACCACCCTGACGTTTGCAAACACCAAAAGAAGGGAATTGTTAAGAACAAAAACTTCTTCGAAGACTCTAAATGTCCAAATATTGAAACAAATGTACTAGCACATTTTATATAAATTTGTCATTAGAGTGGCCCTATGAAATCCATCTTTGGCCAATAACTTTTTTATTTGAAATTTATCATGAAAGTCATCTCCTAGAGACTTTTAAAACTCTTTAAGACGAATGTTTTATAACTGGATTTGTTGCCTGTATCTCTTCTAATAAAAAAGATATACTCAAATATAGTAAAAAATATGAATAAATTCAAATTGATTTTATACGAGTTTAAAAAATAACATACCTCCAATTTTTTCATATTATTGAGAATAACATACGCCCTTTCAAATGCTGCAAAAAAACTTTTTTTTTGTTTGCCCCAACCAGAGATATTAACATTTGAAAAGTGTGTATTTTTAGTATACAAACGTCAATAACTCTTGATCGGCGAAAGATATTGACAAGCTTTGTGCAGCAAAAATTTGCGCCTTCTTAAGATCTAAAAGTTATCTCAAGACACCTTTGCTGAGAAATTCGAAATAAGAAAAATAGAGCAAAAACCTGTTTTTTTAAGAGCCACCCTAACTCAATTCAAGAAAATAGCTCTAAATCGGCCAATTGAAGAGACACAAAAAAGTTCTTTTCAACAAAGTTGCTTAAAATTAGCTCAGCTATAACTTTGCCGAAGAATATATAACTTAATTTATTCAAACAAAAAAGTTAGATTTTTGATTTTAATGATAATAGGAACCACCCTAGAACTCATTGTCATAAAAATGAGGGCCTAACTATAAGGAACAACTTTGTAGAAGAGACTTTTAGTCTAAAGTTTCAATTTCAGGCTCAAAACATATCATTCCACCTAAATCTGCATTCTGGACCACTGTGCATTGGTGTATAGTCAAAGATGAATACTAAGATGAAACTGTCGGAAGAAAAACTTTCTATTTTAGTGTCCTCTTTCACGGTCCCTTTCATCCATTGAATACCCCTCGTATTCAAGGTAATTTTGTGGTTTTGCTGCCCCCTCGGTAGAGATGAAATTTTGCGCTCATTTTTATCAAAACAAACACACCAAAATCAGAGGAGTCCCATTTTTTAATTACTCGATTAACAAATAATAGATTTTTTTTTTGTTCGCTGTGCTGCCATTTTTCCACCAATGAGAGTGCAGAACATGTTTGAAACGATCGGTGATGATCCTCTGGAGAAGTTAATGCTTATATCGGCATGATATAACCGATTGCAAATATTTTACTTTTCGGTTCGTTAATCGATTAATCGATAATTCGAATGAAAATCGGCCATCACTAGATGAATGTGAAACGTCATTTCAAATATATGGACCGTACATAAATAATGATACAATTTGAAAGGGACCGGGGCTCATCACAAATTACGTCCACACGGTAACTGAAATAAACATGAGTGTTCACCGGTTGGTATAGTGCCTATATTGCACTACAACATAAAGACTGTTTTTGATGAACAGCCCACTTCCAATTTAAACGTGTTTGGTGGTTTAGTGCGTTGGGTGTCTGCTATGTGAGCAGAAGATCGTGGGTTCAATTCCAAGCTCGCCCAGTTGAAAAATGTGTAATTGTTGATGCAAAATTTCAATTCTGTCACCGATTTTCGTAATTACTTGGAAAATCCGTTTTCAGTAAATGCGAAGAAAGCAGATAGTGAAAAGAATATTTTGCACAATCGCTTGGAGGGAAACGGATGCACCCCTTTCCCTCCAGTCCAAAATGAACTACTGGAATATTGAATTTTGCATGTCCCTTAAAAGAGCACTTAACGATTGAATTAAAACGTGTATTTTCTACCACACATAACAATATTCTCAAAGTATCGCTTAGTGACATTCTCATTTTTATCAATTTTGCCCGAACGCCCCAAAAGTATATTCCAATATTTCAATCTGAATCTGAAAAAAGTTCCAAACTGACGTATAGGTAGGGTATACGTCCCTAACCTCGGTCTAATATGCAGCCATCGATTACGTTTTTAATCATAACTCATCAATGAATTTACCTGCAAACGATATTCTACTGCTAAATGGTATGCTTAGATATGCTTATCATGTCGTTTGCTATCAGAAACCACGAAAAGTTGAAAAACTTACTTTTTTTAAGACAATAACTCACGAGGGAAATGTATGTAATATGGGTCTATTGTCCCCAAATTGGGTCTATTTATGGATGCAACTTCGTCCTATCTTGTTTGATCCTCAAAAAAACGCTCTTGGTAACGTTTTCTGATGTATTTTTTTTTATCACTATCACTGTTAACTTAATGCTCTTCATTCCTCAAAACATTTCTTAGAGAAAATTTTACGAAAACTACATTAAATCACTCAATTTAAAAATTAAAAATTAAAAATTTCGCTTATCGTCTTTTGACCGCAGAATATCTAAATCAGAACATTGTGATGTTCATTATACAGGTTTGGCAGAAAAAATCTCCCTTCCTGTTCGTTCCTTATCATCCAAATGCAAAACAACATTGTTGACGTTACTCTTATTGCTATATGCTGTCAAATGAATTTCATGGGCCATAGTTAGGAACATAGAAAAGAAATGTGTCCCTAAAGTTGGGTCCATGTTTTACTTGTGAAAACGTTGTTAAACAATTAAAATAAACATAAAATATTCAAACAGCAACTGTAAGTTTTACGTCTAGTGTGTATTATCAGGTAATTCCAATCAATAAATGCCATAATCAGGCCATTTGATGATCGTCAGTCAACCTTCCCATCTTAACCTTATAAGTCATGGCGGCTAAAAACTCCGAACATTGTGATATTCTCAACCAGTTTTATTACTTACGAGAGCTGAAAATGTATTGAAATGTTGTGATATAAATTGATTTGTGTGTGGTACACATTTATCAACCATCAGTGATCAATATTTTCCTTATTTTTTGTGTAATATTCCTTAATTAATTATTTATTTGCGTGATAGGCCGAATGAAAGGACTAGACCCACATTACATACCGTAACCCTACTATGGCCAATTTTATATTTTTTTTTTTTCATTTTCAAATTCAATCTAGCAAATTCCTAAAGTTTTAAGATGATTCCCTGTAGCGTCCTTTTTTGCATTACATTTCTCAATTTTACAAGTCATAATATTAAGGTTTTTGTAAATGGGTAGGTGTTATTAGTTATGACTATATGTTTCTTTTTAAGTGGATCACACCATAATAGGAACGTATATCCATAACTGGTACATCTACCCTACTTGTTGTTTGCTGTGACGAAGCAAGCAATTTCTAAAAAATGCACAGTTCTGTAAACCTCGTAAATCTAGAGATCCCAAGTCACAATTTTGGTTTTATGAGGGTTTTGAAGACCATGATTTATACTCGTAGCAACCTCGATAAAACATGCAATGTTACTTGGAATGTGTGCTCTTTAAGTTGCGAAGTGTGATAAGATAAAGGATTCCACAAGGAAACAGCTTAAGGTAATGCTAGAGAGAATCCCAAGATTATTACTTGATTCCTTGAGAATTATGCTTTAACGGAAAACGAACACATTGTACCTGTGCTGATCGAAAACTGCGGTCATTCGATGTCTATTTGTAGCAATGCTAATTCGTGTTAATTACTCACTGCCGTAAAAGCAAGCTGAACAAACAAATCGAGTATTGTATTAACCCAATTTGAAGGTTTCTTTCATTGTCGAACAACACACATCTATCTTCCATTGCGTGCCAGCAATGAATCTTGCTCCACGACCATGTGTCCTTCTTATTACATAACCTGTAAATTGTTAGAAACGCAATTGATCGATACTATTTATCTTTCTCTATTTCTTCCCTTCCACACAAAAAAATAAAATAAAAACAGGTTGGCAGCGGTTTGGCGTCCGCCTACATGGTATACGACACCTTCTCCTTCAAGCTAACTCTTCCTCCTAAGTCCAGACGGATTGAGTTCTGCGTTTGCTACAAATGTGAAGCCGGCGAGTTCTGGGATAATTATGATGTAAGTGCTCTCTCTCTCTCTCTTCGCATCTATTGCGTTGCCATAAATTTGTAAAATGTTATGGTTTTCACTCTCTCTCCCTCTCTCACAACACTTTCAGGGTCGCAACTATTCGCTCACGAACCGCGTCATGCCCCGTCAGGACTCCAGCATATTCTTCCCCTCGCATACCTATAGTAGTAGTAACAGTAATAATACTAGTAACAGCAACAACAGCACCTCTCCCAATAGTACAAACACCACCACCACAACCATCAATGAGCAATGTTCCAGTTTAAGTGCCTATAGTAGTTCTCAGTATGTGGACCCAACGGTCGATCTGGACACGTGGCGTCACATGCACCCGGAGGCCCATGATGGACCATATTGGTAATTTTTCTTGAAAAAAAAAAAACAAAAAAAAAAAACAATCACATTCGATCAAATGCTATACGCTAGCTACATATGAGATCCAGGGGAACAAGCGACGGACACCACAAGCGCGTCACCTTCAGTATAGAACCTATCAACGGAAGCATATCGAACATGTGTCTGATCGCTTGTACCAAAACAAAACAAACAATCAAAAAGCAAATCTTAATGCCAAATTTTACAAATTTTACAAAAAAAAACAGCACCTTTTTGGTTGGCATATTACGCGATACTGCATCAAAACAAAACAAATCAATGTAACAAGTGTTAAGTGTGTACAAAAACGGTACTTGCAAGAGGGATCCACCAAACAAACAAACAAACAAACAAAAATCGAGCAAAACCAATCTCAATATCTAGGCTTAGTAGGCAGATCAACCTTCCTCTTCTATGTCAAGACAAACTCATCATCACTGATCGCGAGAGGCAGTGTAGTCGCAGAATGACAGCACCGCCCCCCACTGACCAGAACAAGGTAACCTTCAAGCTCTTGGTAGCTATAGACACACAAACGCACTCTTTTCTACCATTTTTCACCTGTGTAATTTTCGTAGTATTTTTCTCTGTGTACGCATTCCCACTCCGGATTTGGTTTTATCAGCATAGTAGACAAAAAATGACACCCATTTGTGAGCGTTCAAAGTGGTGTACTAATACTGCCCTCCACTAACCACAAACAACTGTCCCTCCCGGCGATGATGGTCTTATTAGGTAGGGAAACTCGTTTGCAAACGACACACTTAACCTAAAAATTGGCCGAGTTTTACGATAACAGCGTGATGAAATTTTGCCAATTTTTTTACAGTTTTTTTGCGAGTATCCATTGTTTACATTCATGTGTTTATGTGCGATAGAAAGCTACTAACCCCTTACTAACAACGCTTGCTTATTGATTAATCGCTAAGAACAAAACAAAATGCTGGAAGATCACAACAGTGATCGGTGCAACATCCGCAGTAGAACCTAAGTAGCAGTATAGTAAGCCATGACGATGACAGTGTGATTTTATTGAATCAAAAGTGCTTCTCCTTCGGTGTAAAAAAAAAGGAAACCCATCATGATCAGGATGGTTGCTGTTGAGCAACAGCACCTTGCGCGACCTTGCCAGGTCATTCGCGGGCATCGTACCTACTTCCTTCCCATACTGAGATCATTGTTTATCGTATTTACACCCCATACTATACATACTACAAACGTTGCTCTAGTCTCGTGACCCATCTCGTGAATGCATACACATGCACGATGTTTACGAATCGGTCGCTATTAGCATTGGGCGTATATTCACGACCTGGGTAATTTACAATCACTGCGCTCAACCAACAAGTGTGCCTGCAGGCGGGCACACGCAGCAGTAATACGACGAACTGCTCTCTAACGGTTAACCGTTTTTCGGTGACTAATCGCGCTAGCAGGCTGATTGACAACCGGTTTCTACTTCCTCAAGTCATTCAACCAGAGAGCTGTTGCTCTACTCCTATATCTGACACTGGTTCTAATTTGCCCAACCTAAGATCACCGTCACGCCGCTGCACCGGCGTAGCAGTGATCAATTTCATCCAGAGATTGCATCACGGCTGCTCGCTCCCGCCGTAACAGATCAAACTTTGTAAAAAAAATAGGCATTTGGAAGCAGCTCCATATCGAAGCGGTCTGGAAAATTCGATCAAGTGCTCGTAACTCACGGTCGACGCCTGCCTTGATTGTATATAACTGATGGGTGCCCCGTTGCATAATGAGAAACAGGTTTCCGCCTGCGCTCTGTGCTTCAAACTCGATCGAAGTAAGTACGTTGCGTGGTGTGGGGACAATACCTGAGGATGAGGTGGCAGACATAATTTCCTGTTCTTGTTGTGCCTTCGTTTGCCTGATTGACTCTGCGCTATCGATGCTAGCCATGTCGCTATATGACACCGGCCGGTGAGCGATAGGACTCTTCCGTCACACAATAATTGACAATTATTGTCCAATATGTATTAGCTAGGGAAGTGCCAGGAAATTACTTTATCGCTGAGGTGTTATTAAGCATAAGTGGCACTTTTTTTTCGCAATCTAGATAAACATTTCAAAAGGTCCTATCTGCTTCGATCGATTCTCTGGCTATCAAAAACCATCGTTACGCATACACATTTTTGGCTACTTTTGCCACATAGTTTGATGCAAGAAGTTAAGCCGGAACAAACCCTATGGATACCTGCAAGACCTTAAGAGTAGACATGACAAACTTCAATTCGTCCTGAAATCTTACTTAGAATTATTTTGGAAAACTCTTTAAATTTTCCTAGAAATTCTGACCAACATCACCTTTGAATAAATTACAAAAAAATCTATTAAATTCACTTCAGGATCTTCTTGAAACACTCTTTCAAGTTCATTTGGAACTTAGAATCCCCACAGAATACTCCTTTGAATTGGCTCCTGAAATTCCTTGAAACTCTCCTAAACATGTCTTTCCTCTCCAAAATTTCTTTAGAGCTATCTTCAGAGTTCGATTCCTTTAGATTTCTGCATAGTTTTCCTTAATTTATCTTCAGAATTGGCTAAATATTCGCTTAAGAATTCCTTCTGAAGACTGTTAACTTCTCCTTAAAATTCACCTGGAATTCTATTCGCAATCCAAATTTTCTTTAGAATATTGAAATGTCCAAGATTCAGTATCTATCCAAACCTCAGTATCTTAAAAAATATAAAATCCTAAAATTTACAAGATTTAAAAATGGTCGAACTATTCCATATTTTTTAAATTTATCCCCCCCCCCCCTACTTTCCAGATTTGAATGCACTGTGACAAAAGCAAAAGTATTCAGTTGTTCCGGCTCCCCTAAAGCACAAAACATCAAACAAAGCAAGGAATGTTTTTGCAGTTGTGTTATTCACGGAAGAGAAAGTAGATTCAAAGAATCAATCAATGCAAATAGGACCTTTTGAAATTTTCATCTATGTAATGTAATGTGATGAATCATTTCGCCTTGGAAATATGTTGACCTTCATTTTTTTCATAACAAGCTAAACATAAACGTGTGACTCATAGCAGATGTTGGTGCCCTTTCGGAACAGTCAACCGATACTTCTAGAATGTTCGATTCTAGATATTGAAGTATTGTAACTCTCATTACTCGCGTACTCCATGCTTCCATGCTTCCATCTATTAACGTCTCTTTAAACAAACCACCTTGAAGAGGTGGATACACACTTAGAAATACCTAATTTTACACGTGACGGAATCTATCTTTGACATAAAGGATGAGACGTAAACAAACATGTCATGTAAAATTAAGTGCTCCGAGACTGAAAGTTTGTTACCCGACGATAAGTAGGTTTGATCGAGCTGAATTTTGCGTCCAATATGACTTAATTTTATGTCAAAATTGACGCTCGTATATGTCAGTCTCAGAGCACCTAAATTTACATGAATTTTTCTAAGTGTGTATATTTCATTCAAAATGGCCAAATCGCAACCAGCACCAAGCCGATTAGCATCCCCAGGTAGCGATAATCACGGGCTACTTACATAGAGTTGGCTATAACCTTTTTGCTCTGTCATCGTCATCACTGACACTAGCGACTTATAAACAATAGTGCATTAGTGACGACGATGATCCCCCGTTCTTGTTCGCATTACTTACGGCAAATATCACCGCCAGCAATCCCACCGGGCACCGCGTGGAGATAAGAATCGGAGTTCAGGTGCACAGAGGTCGCAAATCGCCGGTCAGGGCAGAACCCAACAACCATTGATAGGCGTTCTTATGCACCTGCTTTACCCGGCGCGTACTCTATGGGTACCCACTTCCAGTATCGAGTTTTGTAGTACTATTCAGCTGTCAGATACATTTTGTTTTTTCATGATTGCGCCTTTCAAAGCGCTGGCATTAAATGCAAATTTTTGTTTTATCTTATTTTTTTTATTTTCGATCCCAGGTCAAGAGAATACAATGCAGTGATACCAACAATCAATAAGAAACTAACGATTTTAAATTGACTCATTACTTGACTAGCCAATTGGTCCCAAGTATATACATCTCTTAGCGTACCCTATTCTCGTACTAGAATCTGTCAAAGTTTGCGTTTGTTTTGATTCGAGTTATAAATTTGACAGAGTTTAATGAGGGGTTCGTGGATTTCCTACGTTTCGAGGGGTGCTTTAATTAGCTTGGGACCGAAAGTCTTGCCTTCATGAGCCAAATGACTGAGCATGTTTCTTCGGGGCCATTTGGTATTAGTGTTAGCCTATGGTGATATAGAACAGTTCCACGCCAAATGACGAATCGGTCTGATGCGATCTTTAGCAATATGCACGAAACTGTGCATACTTGTTTGTTATGGTAAATCATTCACATCTGAGCTAAACTTCGGCCATTTCGAATATCGCAAAACAACAACGCAGCTGTGCCGGCAGTGCCGAGAGTGTCGTTCATCAGGTTGAATTAGTTTCCTTATATAATAGTATGTTTGGAAACCCGTTAAATTTGACAGTTCACATATTTTGTTTTAAAGAAACAAGCAGTGCACGGTCAACCACAACAACTCAGCGGCTGAATTCAATTGACTCAGAGCATTTTCTTTCCATTTGAAATTTACTCATGTTTGGGAAAACCAGCAGTTACTCATTAGCTATGAGTTCCTGCAGGTTTTCCCAAATATAAGTAAATTTCGTATGGAACGAAAATGTTCTGAGTCAATTGAATTCAGTCGCTGAGTTGTTGTGGTTGTGGTTGTGTGGAATCCTATCCCAACCTAACGATGCTCCAAAGTCACCCCAGCTGGAAAAGCTGGCCAAACCGGAGGATCCCCTCAAGAACGTGATCGAGTTTCTCCGTCCGCTGGATGACGAGCACGGCAAAGACATCATCGAAACGCATCTGATGGCATTCGAAATCTACAACGGTGGAACGGACTCCCACTATCGATGCTAACTACCGAGGTGGTCAAGCTTATGTACCAACCGGCCGAAAAGAAAC